GAGCTGACAAAATTCAGATGCGTATCATAATCTTCCCAATATACTGAATATACTTTGGTAAATAATTAATATCATATACACTTGTTACTGCAATTATTATTATTATTTGAAATGGAGTCTCACTCTGTTGCCCAGGCTGGAGTGCAGGGGCACGATCTTGGCTCACGGCGACTGCCATACCCACATTCAGTCGATCCTTCCACCTCAGCCTCCTGAGTAGCTGGGACTACAGGCCAGCGCCACCATGCCTGCTAATTTTTGTATTTTTAATAGAGGCGGGGTTTCACCATGTTGGCTAGGCTCATCTCGAACTCCTGAGCTCAAGCAATCCACCCACCTCAGCCTCCCAAAGTGCTGGGATTACATGACTGAGTAATTTCTGCCTTAATTGTTTTGAATGGTCCCCTATATGAGCCTTTGAGATATTTAATGCCAGGAATTTCCACAGTAACTTACTAGTCAACCATCAATATAAATATTTTGCAGAATTTATTACATACAGCAAATCTTGTATTAATTGCTGACTGTGCCAAGCTCTCCATAAAGTTCCAGGAATTTAAAAATTAATAATGCATAGTTGTTAATCTTACAAGTTTCACAGATTAAGTGGGGAGAGAAAAATTTACAGTTGTGTGATATGGAGAAAGGTTAGTAGAAGGGTGGAGACTCCAGAAGTCAGAAGCTGTTAACATCCAAACTGTGTGTGTGTGTTTTATTTTTTTAGATGGAGTTTCGTTCTTGTTGCCTAGGCTGGAGTGCAGTGGTGCGATCTTGGCTCACTGCAACCTCTGCCTCTCGGGTTCAAGCGATTCTCCTGTCTCAGCCTTCTAAGTAGCTGGTATTACAGGCACATGCCACCACGCATAGCTAATTTTGTATTTTTAGTAGAGATGGGGTTTCATCATATTGGTCAGGCTGGTCTCAATCTCCTGACCTCAGGTGATCTGCCTGCTTCAGCCCCTCAAAGTGCTGGGATTCCAGGCGAGAGCCACTGCGCGCGACTTCCAAGCTGTGTTTTAAGAGATGACTTTGAATGGTGAACAAGAACACTCTTGGATGAGGAAACTCATATAGAACACATATAAAGGGGAGAAAAGTGCTGGGAGATACAGCTGCAGAGATGGGTCGGTACCTATTCGTGGAGAGATTTTCATGCTAGGTTAAGAAGTTTAAATTGTGTCTGGTATAGGAAACAAAATGAATGAAGGTTGTTAGGCAGGAAAGAGATGTCATTACACTGGTCTTGGCTGCAGTACATAATGGAGACTGGCAGGAGGCCAATTCAGGTATAAAGTGAGGGCCTGAACAAGTTGTGGGGTACTGTCAAATGTTTATTGAGTGCATACCACTGTACACCTGGTATTGGGGAGACAGTACATCTTTTAAAAGAGCTTACAGTCAGCAGGCTAGATGACACTGAAAGATACAATGTGAGAATCTAAAGAAATTACAAGCATGTGGCCAGGTGCTGTGGCTCACCCCTGTAATCCCAGCACTTTGGGGGAGGCTGAGGTGGGTGGACCACTTGAGGTCAGGAGTTCGAGACCAGCTTGGCCAACATGGTGAAACTCCATCTACTAAAAGTACAAAAAATAGCTGGGAGAGGTGGCGAGTGCCTGTAATCCCAGGTACTAGGGAGGCTGAGACAGAGAATTGCTGGAACCTGGGAGGTGGAGGCTGCAGTAAGCGGAGATTGTGTCACTGCACTCCAGCCTGGGTAACAGAGTGTGACTCTGTCTCAAAACAAACAAAGAAACAAACAAGCATGTTAGGGAAGGAGTCCCAGAGAAAGCAATACTGAAGTGTGATTGTAAAGATCTGAACTGATTTGAAGTACTTACTGATTTGAGTGTTTACTGTGCATCCTGTATAATCCCTCCATACTCCTAAAGAAACCACTTTCTTTTGCCCTCACTGTAATCTACCAAAGCATTTAAAATAGTTAATAATTTAAAAAACAATAATATGTTGAGGCCAGAAGGTCTCTCTCTCCCCTGTTCTCTGACAGCACCTTACCTTTGCATCATTCGCACACTATTATAATTACTTGAAATTACTTGGAAGAGGTCCAGAGAATGGGCAGACATTTAGGAGTGCCAGGAAGGAAACAGCACAAAAGGGAAGGAGTATAAATGTTAAATAATTCAAAATGGCAAATGCTTTAAAAAGTTCAAATAAAATTTCAGTACTGTAATTTACTGTAATTTGGATGTCCTTGTTAATGATCTGTTTGCAGTTTATATAAGAAATACACAGTAGGCGAAAAATGAGATTGGACCGAGGACTTCCTGTCAGAAAATCCGATTGAGAAGTGATGCTACAGAATTTTGTTGGTTCTTTTTTTTTTTTTTAATTAAGGAAAGGAGAATAGAGGGTGTCTAACAGGCTTGGTAGGAAGGAAAGTAACTTGTTAAGGCTTATTACCACGGACACATGTATTAGTAACTTGTAACAGTACTTCCTCTAGATATTTGCATATATGTAGATGGCGGGGGGAGACCCCATAAGTACCGAGGCAGGAGTCAGAGGCCTCAGTCTATTCCCATATAAATAATGAAGAAAATAACTAGAGATATAGCCATCGTAGTTATGCATAGGTGATCTTAGTTCTCTTACTAATGCCACTTAGGTCGGGAAGTGTGAACCTGGGGTGACACTGTGAAAGGAACAAACCTAGGGCAAGACGCTCTAGGCCCTCTGTCGCCCTTGTAAGGGTTGCTGGAGGATGCCTTGGCTGCGCAGCAGCGCCAGTGCTGGGAAAGCACCCGCTGTTCAGCAAGCTGTGGAAGGAGATGTCAGAGATGTCTCCCTCCCTGGCGGAGTGAGGAGAAAAGTCCACTCCTCCAAGCTCTAGCGGTAGGCCTGGCAGCTGTCAGGTAGGCCCACAGACATTAGGGGCTTAATTGTCCCTCTGTGATGCTGTGCTTCAGGGGTCACGTTCCATGTCCACTCTCAAGTTCCACTTCTGCACCTGGTTCTTTGTTCTTAGCAGAGATAATAAGTAAAAGTAATAGACATCTCAATGTCTTTGTTCTCTCTTGACAAGTACGGAAAGTGCTGATACCTTATGCTCCTTACCTCATCTCGGCTCCCAAAAAGTCTTGGGCCCCTACCTATGTGACATGTGATGTACTTGACCCTATCACTGACTACCAACGCCACGCCCTACCTACGCTGCCTCCAGCTTTGTACTCAATAAAAGAGTGTGCAGACACTTGGGGCCACTGCTGGACTTCACGCTTTGGTTGGCAATGGACTCTTGGGCCCAAACTCTTCTCTCTATCTGTGTGTCTTGTGTCTTTTATTTCTACAGTTTCTCATCTCCACAGCAGCAGAGAGGGGCTCAAAGGACCCTGTAGGGTGGACCCTACATATAATAGAATTAATGTTAGTACATTTTCACTTATCCCTAGGAAAGAATTACTGATGCATACAAACTCAACATTTTCACTGGATATATAAACCTTCAAAGTATGAATCGGTCATTTCTGGTCATTTATTGCAACCTATGATTAAGACAGAAGGTTAAGAAAAATGTCAGAGAACATATTTACCAGATTATCACTGGCATATTTCAGCATTTTTTTTTTTTAAAGACAGTGCAACACTCCTGCCCAGCCTAGGAGTGCAGTGGTGCCATGATGGTTCAGTGCAGCCTTGAGCTTCTGGGCTGAACTGATCCTCCCACTTCAGCTTTCTGAGTAACTGGGACTACACGTGTGTGCCACCATGCCCAGCTAATTTCTGAATATACAGAAGGAGAGAAGGAGTTTCACCACGTTGCCCGGGCTAGTCTCCAACTTCTGGGCTCAAGCAATCCTCCTGCCTCGGCCTCCCAAAGTGCTGGGATTACAGGTGTGAGCCATTGCACCCAGCTCTAACAAGATTTTTACATTCTAAATTGGGTTATATTTGAATAATGAATGTCACTAATAAGAGGAAGTGCAAGTACCAATATGTTCTTTACAGGCCTCATACTGTTTTTTTCTTTCTTTTTCTTTTCATTCTTGGTCATATTGCTGTTTTTCTTAGCCAAACTCCTCCTCAGCACTTATTTTCTGTGTGCTGATTACTATGCTGTGCTACTAAGTTAGGCTCTTTTGTCTTGGCAGTTCACATCTTTCCCTAAGGCATAATCACCGTTTACTGCTTAATTTTCACTTTTCTTCTCTATCTTGCTGGGGTGGTGTAATAAAATTCCAGCTTAACAAACACAGTAAGTAAAATGGCTTGCCAAAGATGATAAAGATCAACCAGATTTGTTTGGGATATATAGCAGCACAAATTTAAAAGTAAATATAAGCAGCCCATCTCAATCATAGCGTTCAGATACTGGTCAGTGTGACTGAAAACTGACACTGTTCATGTTAAGCAATGTTTTTCAGCTTCCACCTAACATTGCAGTTCAGTTTGGTGCCGTCTTGTGCCTCTCTCTTTTTTTTTTTTTTTTTGAAACAGAGTTTCTCTTGTTACCCAGGCTGGAGAGCAATGGCGCGATCTCGGCTCACCGCAACCTCCGCCCCCTGGGTTCAGGCAATTCTCCTGCCTCAGCCTCCTGAGTAGCTGGGATTACAGGCACGCGCCACCGTGGCCAGCTAATTTTTGTATTTTTAGTAGACGCGGGGTTTCACCATGTTGACCAGGATGGTCTCGATCTCTTGACCTCGTGATGCACCCGCCTCGGCCTCCCAAAGTGCTGGGATTACAGGCGTGAGCCACCGCGCCCGCGCCTCTCGTTTTTACGAACACAACTCAGAAGTCCTGGTAACTTTAGAGAAGGCACCGCTCAGATCTTACTCACACCAGGTATTCCTGGATAGAGCAGGTATTATCCTACGTGAAACATGCGCTCATCAGATTTTAGCATTCCAGCCTCATGGCTTCGAGTCACTGCCTGTGACTGATCATCTGCACAGACCCGAGAGTCCCCGGAAACCGTCTCCCAACCATCAGGGTGCCCGTGCTAACCGCTCACTCACCAGACCCGCTACAGGACTCACGTTGTGAAGCTGGAGACGCGGTTGTGGCGTTGACGTTTTCACTGCGATCGGCCTAGTTCACTCTTCTCTCTCTCGGATGTTTTCCTGCCTCGCCAGGTCTGAGAAAATCGGTGCCGCCCACCCTTGCAGAGCTAACTGGGGGGCGCTTGCCAGCGGCGTGCGGTCCCGGCGGTCCGCGTCTGCGGGCAGGAACGCCTGGGTCAGGCGCAGGGACGTTATCCTGTTAAAGACCTTGGCCTGGTCCGCGGGTTGCACCGGGACGGGGGATGACACCGGACCCTCCATTGGCTCCGCTCCTCCGCGACAGGCCGACGGGGACGAGCCCTCTTTCACCTGGGACCGAGCCCACGTTTGGCCGCTCGGCCTTTGTCCGGGCCTACTCGCTGTCGCGAAGGTCAGACTCACCTTGGGAAAGTCCGCGCTGGGACGGCAGCTAACACCACGGCAGGCGGCCCCCGCGGAGTCTCCCAGGGTCAGGCCAGGACAGCCAACTTGCCCGGCCGGCTGAGAGCCGGAGGCGGCACCGCCCCGTTCCCGGCAGTCTGCCGACTTCCGGACCTGCGCAGACGCCTCTCTGCGCCTCCAGGCGCGCCCCTCCCCCGGCCGGCCGTTTCCCGGCATGCGCCGCGGAGGAAGAGACCGAGTCGACAATAACAAACCCAGCTGCGGCGGCGTCCGCGGCCCTGCCGAGCCCTCGGCGTTGCCTCAGGGTCCCCCATTTGCCTGGGCCCCTCGGCTCTGACAGGCCGCGGCCCTCTGTCTCCCGGCCCCAGACCCAGAGCCGAGGGGCCTGCCCGCGTCCTTCTCCGCCCGTATCCCTCCCGCTTGCCTAGAGTTAGGGGCCGCGGCGGGCGGGCGCCCGGGACGCCGGCGGTCGTGTCTGTTGGCGCTGCCGAATGGGCGGTTGGTAGCCGCCGCCGACAACTAGGCGGCGGCGGAAGATGGTGCCGGGGGTCGCTGGCTCTGCTGCTGCTGCCGGCGAAGGAGGAGGCGCTGCCGGGTGAGTGTCGCCGCCGCCCGCGTCCCCTTCCCCCATCTGGCACCGCGGTCGTGCGGCTGGCCCCGGAACGGTGGGTCGGGGGCGCGGGGTCCGGGGTCCAGGGTCCAGGGTCCCGGCCGGCCCGAGCCCAGCCCACGCGCAGGTGTGTGCACCTGGAGGCCCCCGCGCCTCCCGCCCCGGCAGGTGTTGCCCTCTGGCCGCCTTCCCGGCGCTACGGTCCCTGTGGAGACAAAAGCGGTTCGAGTCGATGATCCGCCAGGCTGCGGGCAGTGTGGATCGGGCTCGCTTGCTGCGGGGCGGCCTGAGCCTTGGGCTCCATCCCCCTGCGCCGGCGGTCGGCACCCAGCCGAGGGCGAGGGACGTCCGAACCCGCCGAGACGCCTCCCGACCTGCGCTCGTCGCTGCCAGGGATCGGCCCTTAAAGCTGTGCTGGAGGAACGGGGGACGGGAGTTTGGCCGAGGCCGAGCGGAGCGCACGCAGTGGGAGGGACGGAGGGACGGAGGGACGGAGGGACGGTGTCTTTGTCCCGACCCCGGAGTGCGAGGATCGGTATAAAGTTACTCCTAGGAATGACTCAGCCTGCGCCCGCCCCTCGGGTAGATTTGAGATGGGCGTGCACGCGGATTTCACAGCTTCCTTGGGAGAAACAAAAATACCTTAAGCAGCGGGAGAAATGGCAGCTTCTGAGTGGAATATGTCGTTTCTTCCACCGCCCGGTGGACGTGCTGTGTTTACTGTTGATGGTTTCGTAATCTAGTCTTTTCCATCGTGACTCTTTAAAGTGTGGTCATACCTTGAAGGAGTGTAGACCTGGGTGCCAAGGAAGACTCATGTGCTCACTATTGATAGAGAGTCACGTTACTGTGAGACACTCAGCCAGATGGGAATGTTCTCAGGTCCGCTGCAAACGTTTAAAATGTAGCCATTTGCTGACCATTCTATTGTATGGTTTCTTAAGTTTTGTGTGTTGATGGGACTTGTATGATTTATACGTAGATTTGGACAGTTAGCTATTTAGGAAGAGACTTAAATAAACTCAACTGTGTGTTTAAGAATGTTAGTACATTTTGATAAAAGATAAAAACAGGGTCCGTCCACTTCTGATCAGACACAGCTGTGAGAAGCAGGGACTACTGAGGGAGGTGGTTGATTTTATTCTTTTGGATTATTGGATCGATAAGCAGACCATTGATAGGAATGTGAGAATATTTTTGCTGTTTGTATTTGTTGTAACAGAATATGGCCCTAATGAACATATTTTCTCACTAACATTCTTGTCATGTCTTTCAGTGTTTGCGATTGCGTTCAAAAGCTGGATAAAGTTTTCAAGGGTGCTTTAGGCTCGTAATGCTTATGTTGAGAAATCTCTGTTGCTGTAGAGTGGATATTGACGTAGTTTATGATTTTAAAGTAATTTTATTTAGTCTATTCCGAACCTTTTATAGTAATCATGACATGATTATTTATGTGCCTAACCCTATGTGTTTGTTACTGGACGGCTTGGAAGACAATGAAAGTGGTACTTTTGTCCCTGAAAGAGGTTTTCTTTTTTTGACCTTTTCTGCCAAACACAAAATCAGGATGCATGGCAGATTGACTTTTTAGCAAATCAAGTTCATCAAGGCAGAGGACACAAGACCTTTGTTTTTGAAATTTTGAACCAAAATTTTGATTATGTTAGCTTGAGAAAAGTTTTTAGACTCTAATTTTGAGATTAAAAATTTTAATCATACATTCAGCAAATATTTGAGCACCCATATGTTTTACTTTGCACATATGTCTAATGAATATCTTTTTAAAAGAATGGCTGATAAGATTTCTCATTCAGGTAATGGTATTTTCTAACTCCAGTTACACTTTTCTTTTGTAGTAATACGGCCCAAGGCACTCAGGTGAAAATCTAGCCATTCCTTTTAACACACTTCCACGATTTTTTTAATTATCTCTTTCCCACTGTGAGGTTTTTGAACTAGTTACATGAGGAACATAAAAATGTTTAAGTAATTGTTCTTGCTTTATAAGAGAAAGAAAATTGGAGTTCTCTATACATTTGTGATGTAAGTATTATTGGAAATTAGTATGAAGGGATTGAGCTTTTTTTTTTTTTTTTTTTTTTTTTTGAGGTGGAATTTTGTTCTCACTGCCCAGGTTGGAGTGCAATGGCACCATCTCGGCTCACTGCAATCTCTTGAGTTCAAGCAATTCTCCTGCCTCAGCCTCCCGGATAGCTGGGATTACTTGCATATGTCACCATGCCTGGCTAATTTTTTTTTTCTGTATTTTTAGTAGAGACAGGATTTCTCCATGGTGGTCATGCTGATCTCGAACTCCCGACCTCAGGTGATCTGCGCGCCTCAGCATCCCAAAGTGCTGGGAGTAGAGGCGTGAGCCACCTCACCCGACCAGAATTTGAGCTTTTATGAGGTGTAGGACGATATTTTGGTAAGAAAAAGCATGAGGTGACTTGGAGAAGTCACTTCACCTCTTTAAAAGTATTTTAGCCACCTCAGAGAGTTTTGATGAGTATTTATTGTGTACCTACTCTGTGGCAGGCACTGCTGTAGATGTGCTTGGGATTCAGGAGTGAACAAACCAAAGAAATATTTCTATCTTCAATTAAGAAAAAATGGATTAAGAGAGTAATAATTGCTAAGGAGAAAAACAGCACAGAAGGGAGGTTATGAAGTGTCAGGGTTGGGGGTTTGAAACTTTAGATAAGGTCGCCAGGGAAGGCCTCACTGATTGACTTTTTTGTTTTGTTTTGTTTTTGAGATGGAGTCTCACTCTCTCACCCAGGCTGGAGTGCAGTGGCCTTATCTCGGCTCTCTGCAAACTCTGCTTCCCTAGTTCAAGCGATTCTTCTGCCTCAGCCTCCCAAGTTGCTAGGATTACAGGTGCCTGTCACCACACTCGGCTAATTTTTGTAGTTTTAGTAGAGACAGGGTTTTGCAATGTTGGCCTGGCTGGTCTTGAAAGCATGACCTCAGGTGATCCTGCCTTGACCTCCCAAAGCCCAGCCACCGATTGACTTTTGAATAAAGGCCCAAGAGAAGTAAGGAGCCTAAGTGTGTGACTCTTTGAAAGGAATTTTTGGCTGAAGAAACAGTAAATGGGAAGGCTCTGATATACATGGAATATACAAAGAAAAATGAAGTTACTGAGGCTGGACTAGTTTGAGAGAGGGGAGCAGTGGAAGGTGGCATACTGGGGAGGGCTCTACATATCCAGGTTTGGAAATCATGGGAAGGAAACTAATGTACTCTGACCTAGCATGTGCAAAGGCCTGCAGGTGAATTACAGTAAACCCAGCATGACTGGAAAGCAGTTGAAGCCAAATTCACTTCATTTATTTCTAAAATGCTAATGGAACCCTGCAGCATACTCTTAGCTTCAGCAATGCAACAGTGAATGAGAGAGACATATATGTCTATGTGTATATATTTATAGGAAATTAGGGAACCACTGGAAATTTTAATGGAGGTGAATGACAAATGCATATTACTTTGAGGATGTAGAATAGATGAAAGGCTAGCCAACCAGATTGTATAGTGCTAGGTGGATGAGTTTTTACTTCATTCACATGGATAAAAGGATGTAAAGATTAGTTGTCTCTGGTTCTTTTTTATTATGGACCAAAGCAGCTCAATTTGTCTGCAGACTGTACCCTCACTGTTTAGGTCCCTGAGAGGATGGCATTTCTGTCCATCCATCTGTGAAATTCCAGCTCCGTTAAGTTACTTTTGTAAGCACAGTACTTGAGTACCTCCAAGTACCCTCTTTCTTTGGTTAATTTGTTTCTGCTTTCATAGCTGTTTAGTGAGTTCTCTGAGGATTGTGGAGTAACAATTTTTTCCACTCGTCATTTTGTTCTTTTGAATTCTCATATTTTATTGGCTTATAATTTTGCTAGGAGATGAAAATAATTGTGATCCATTTCCTTTTTTTGTCACTGAATTGAGACTGTCCACATCATTTTTTTCTTCACATTCCACACTTAATAGTAGTTCAGTAACTGCAGCATACCTGTTGAAATATTAATGAATTCACTACTGTATTAATATTATGGTAATATAATGGCTTTTAGTACTTATTTTACTGAATATGCCAGATTTGGGCAGGCTGCTTTAATATTGCCATATGT